CGAAAGGTAATGAAATTCTTTTCATGCTTTTGCACGGATAAAAAATGGAATATTACTTGTGATCAATAATTATGCTAGACAAATAGTTTCTTGATAATCTGATGCTTTCTTGGTCGATCCGTTCTCTCTCTCTCTCTCTCTCTCTCTCTCTCTCTCTCTCTCTTTTCCCTTTAGTTGTGCCTGAAAGCGAGGGAGATGCAAATGTAGATCCGAAGGAGGTTACAGTATGAGGTTTAGGATCAATTCATTCAATGAATCTCCTCATTCACCACGTGTTTGAATTCTACTCCGTATTTTATGTAGGTACATATATATATGCAACAATAAATGTATCATGAATTATAAATGATAATCAAGATATTGATGAGAATATTCAAAAGAATATTATTCATGTCGTTAATATTAAATCAAGATGAAATGCTCTTAGAAGTCATGAATATCGACCATCAACGCTAGTGCAAAGAAGAACATTGATCCTATTTAACTTTAAATGTTCCTTTTTCTAGTATTTTCGAATTATAGTTTTTCAATAATTAGTTAATCATAAATTAGGGTAACATTCTTTATTCAAGTTTTTGAGCTAGAGGTATCTTTTTCATATAGAATATATTATTAGTGTATTAGGTTTTGTACATTTTGCCTTCTAGTCCCATATAAAAATTAAGGGATTTTTCAAAACATTCAATAAAGCTTTCTCAAATCGTAATAGTGAAAATATAAAACAAATGTTCACAATGAAAATGGTCATGATGAAGGGAACTTTTTCTCTATTAAAAAAACAAGCTTAAAAATTGTAATTCATAAAGCTCACCAACAGTTGATTGAAGCAAAGCATGCAACTTTCTATAAAAATGGATTTTAAACCTTAGCAGAGTGATATTGGAGTTAATATACAAAGATTTACATAGATGGGGGGGCCTATAAAAATCATGGTCTTACTTTGCATTCTTCTGCTTAAGCTGACTGAATTATGATGATATGATTTTGTGTGTTCCAATCTCCATTATGTTTTCCGTTAAGAGTGATTAAGCTGTTATCGCTTTATCGTCAGTGTTACTTACTCTCTTGAAGTTGAAAATACCACGAATGCCTTGATCTTTGGCAACCAGCTCAAGCGTAGCAATTCTGTGCTTAAGAAGCTCAACTTCTCTTGCTAGATCTTCATCTCGTTGCTTCATAGCCTGACATAGCAAAGAGAAGACAGTTAACTCACAAGAAATTGGCCATGTTTGATGGTTGACTTCGAAAAATTTAGGAGTTTGGGGTGGGTGAACAGGTACGGGCATGTTTAGCAGAAGAAAGATACAAGGAGGACATCAACATGGACCTCTAATTCCTTCCTACGAAGTTCCTCCTTTCTGGCTTCTGCTCTGGAACGACTTTGCACCTCAAAAATAACAGCAGCTCCTGCAACCTGATGGAAACAGAAAGAAAAAGCGAACTTAGAATTCAAATATTTAGAAAGAAAAGATAGAACCCACAGAATTTTCACGACTTACAACATACAGAGAAAAACAATTATATTATCGTGAAACAAGGGAAGAGGAAAAAGGAAAAAAAAGAAAGAAAATGGAATTGCAAGAGGAATCATGACAGGTCTTTGAGGAAGAATCGTCAACACGGTGTACAAGAAAAGGATTTAGCGAAGCACCATAATGATGTCATTAAAAGTAATTGCATATGCTGGAGCAAAAGCAAAATTTAGCCAACATAGACACTGATAATTCTCGAGGCAATCTTGCCAGTAAGTATGCATGCAGTCTATTTTGGAAATTTCTGGAATAATATTTTCCAAATTCTTAGACAAGGACCACAATCAAAAGAAGAACCCAAATAAAATATATTCAGACTTGCTTATTTGCTTCAGCAAATATCCTGTCATGTGTAATCATGAAAAATAACTCAAAAGTTCGTTCATTTTAAAGAAGTGTGGATCTAACACTTGTGAACCACCAAATTCCCAATTAGAAAAATTACTAGGGTTATAATAAACATATAGATCACATTCATATGGGTTAACCAGAGTCAAAAGGAAAATATCTTTCTAACGTGAATATATTGCAGACCCCGTCCCAAAACCTTTGTTTCTTTTCATTACTATCTCCAACCTTCTATATATTGGTGCCTTGAAGGTTGAAGATGAAGATGAAGCGAATTTCTTTTTTGTTTACTCTGTTTCTTCTTTCCACTTTTGCATTCAGTTTTTCCTAGTTCAAG